AACTCTGGGCCTGGGCACTGTCCCTCAGCTCTTCAGCTCAAGGCTAGCGCTCTACCACTTGAGCCACAGCGCCACTTCCGGCTTTTTTCTGTTTGCTTATGTGGTGCTGAGGAATCGAACCCAGGGCCTTGAGCATGCAAGGCCAGCGCTCTACCACTGAGCCACCTTCCCAGCCCCTATATCTGCTATTTTTAAAATGTCAGAAGTGCTTAGGAATTACTCACACAACCTAACTCACAACATGGTGAAAAGTATTAAAGTTGCTTTCAGCAGCTAGTTTTAATAAAGGTTAATGTAATCACTAAAGTAACACAAGTTGTCTACCATTTTGTTCACCACTAAGATATTCCTTTAATCTTCTTTTTCATTTCCCTGGGCACGTTTATAGGCTTTTATTTACAAGATGTTAATTCACTTGAAAATTTTAAACTAAACTGAAAAAGAAGTTTTCTAGCACTCTAAGATGAAGCAATTCTGATTAAAAGTAACAAATCCAGCTGGGCTACAGATGGCTCATGCTTGTAACCCTAATTACCCTGGAGGCTGTGATCTAAGGATCAAGCTTCAAAGCCAGCCTGACAGAAAAGTCTATGAGAACTCTTATTTCCAGTTAATCATCAAAAAGCAGGACCTGGAGCCGTGGTTCAAGTGGAAGAGCACCTGAATTGCTTGCTTTTTTCCCCCTTGCACAAAAAAGCTAAACAAGAGCATGAGGGCCCGAGTTCAAGCCCTAGTATTGACACACACAAATACTCATCTCCCTCCCCCACATGTACAAAGTAAAAATCCTTCAACCTTTAATTAGCCTGCATAGTCGTATCTGGTAATTATTCTTTCTGTTAGGCTTTGGAAATATTGTTGAATTTATAACCCTATTAGTTCCTCTGGGGACTCCTAATGAGCATGAAGAAGTAAGTTTAAGAGCCACATGCCTAGGTAGTCTTTTGTTCTTTCTTAAGAGTTCTGTCATATTACTTGGATAAAAACTCAAAGTTCACTTTATTTACACCTGTTTTTAGATGGTAGGAAATGAAGGAGACCAGTCGCATAAGATGGCAACTAGTCGCTGTGTGCAGCTGATGTTGATCTCCATGGCCAATGATCTGAAAGAAGTTTGGATCGGCGATCACCCCTACTTGTTGGCAGCGTATATATGTCAGTATATGCCAACCTTTGGCTGGTGGTTAGTCAAGAAATTTTCGAAGCGAAGGATTGAAAACTTCAAGAAGGGTGTGGTAAGAAGAATTTATGTATTTCTTAACAGTACATATCAATCTTGCAGAAAAGTACATTTTCTACCACTTCGATTAATCTTTGCTAACTTTCCATGGGTCTTATGATGTAAACAAAAATATAAAAAGTCTCTATAGCTAATGATTTGCTATAAATTATTACTAGCCTGGAGATTTAAGGTTTCTTTTTTTTTTTTTTTTT